TTCAGGAAGGATTGGTAGTTAAAATATTTTTAAAGAGAATTGCATTTTGAAGAATACTGAAATATAGGTCAAAGTGCTTCTCAGATCTCCAGATTATTTCCTTAAATGGAAAACAAATCTCTAGTCCAGTTTCATAAACTTCATAATTCATTTTGAAGATTTGGATTCCTGAAACTGCTGGAATGTTGAAGTTCATCAAGTCTTCAAGTCTCACAGCCAAGCAGCACTTTAACCAATCTTATCTCCAGGAATCAGGACTGTTCTCTTTGTAAAAAGTTCAAGAGTAAATAAAAGGCAAGTATGTTTTCTTGACCTCAGCCGAGAGAGAAATATTAGCTCTACATATTAACTCTGGTTAGAGATGCATGTACATACAGAGCCTACATACATACAGAACGGTTCAGAACGTTTACAGCTCTCTGTTTTATCTTACAAGTCTTGCCAGTCACAAGAAGAATTTCTTCAGGTCACCCAGACCACAAGAAATGAGTTAGTATCCCGAAGCTCATAAAAAACATGGGCCTCCACCAAAATCTCTCTCCATATCCAAGTCATTTCAGTGAAGACTAGCAGCAGCTACAGAGTCTCATGCTGAGGTGTGGGTGCCACTTCACAGTGAATTCTGTTAACAATGCCTGTTATCTTGTTGGACTGATGATATCAGCAAATGGTGAGATTTCTTCTGCCCAAGGGGGTTAGAAAATATCTATTCCATTGAACTTTAAAAGGCAGACCTGTCAAAGGGCAAGTCCCTGGGGCAGAGAGACTGGATGGCAATAACATCCAGTGTCAGCTTACTGGGACAAGGATATGACCTAACTCCAAATCAGTAGAGAGCAGGTGGCTAGATCAAATTCTTCCCCATTACCAATTCACTGGAAATAAGCTCCATAAAAACTGCTCCTCCAAGAGTACATCATATAAAATCTATTTGTAACAAATACTGTTCAGATTGACAACGCAGCTGCAGCTGTTTTGATAAGTAGATAAAGTCCCTCGGTGTTGCCCTTAGGAATCCCAGCAATGTCTTCAGTGTCCAAAATAAAACCCCAACTACCTGTTCCCTTGGTCCATCCACAACACGACTTACTGAACTCATACATAACAATAACTGTGCAAAAGGGAGCATTTCAAGTGATCTGTCTCTGCTTTAAATACAATGGATTTAAAAAACAAACAAACAAACAAACAACACCCTGAAGCTACAATGCTGATTAATAATCTGCCCTATCATCTTCCACACTTACCTTTATCTTCTGGTATTTTCAAGCAAACATGTTTCTCCAGGCTCACAAAGATACTACCAGGAGTCACAGACTTTCAATGCAGGTCCAGCTGGCAGCCCTTCTCAAATCATAGGCTCCCTACACAGCCAGCTAAGTCAGCTCTGTATCTTCTACCTTTTCTCAGTACCAGACTCTTCAGGAAGCATATGAAGAGAAGACATTTTCTAACCATAACCAAATCATAACTAAGTTCAAATCTTGGTGCAATCTAATGCTACCATCAGAGATAGTTTTGTCAGCAACAGTGCAATCCAATGCTTTATTTTACAAATTTTAAATCAAAACCACCTGGATTCTCATCTCTGCTATATTAAAAGCTACAAGCTTAGATATACAAATAAGTAACTATTAAGTCAGAATTTGTATCACACACTAATTGATTTATGGTAACTCTGAGTTGGTACCCACCACAAGGTAATTAGAGCTGGCTTAATACTCTTCCACTGTCAGTAACAGGCATTTTCTTCTTTAGCAAAGACTAAACCAGCTCAACTAAAGGCCTGTATGCTGTAGGTTAAGATCATGCACACAGACAGTTACCACAGATCAGCAGAGGAGCAAGAGCTTATTGCTTCATACCAATTTGCTTGAATTTTTAGGGCCACACTCTGTCATTCACTTATCTTTGCATCTGTTTCCTCATTAATAAACTAAACATAATGCTTCTTTCCTGTTGTCAGTCAGTTGATTGTTCTCAGTATTCACAATGGCTCTGTATTATTATTATTATACATGCAGTTGAATTACTACACATACTAGTGCTTACTAGTCAATTGTTCCACAGTACTAAAAACAAAAGTTGTAAATTCTGGCCAAAGTTGTAAAACATGAAAGTCACTTAGAAATAATACAGATAAATCATTCTTTTACAGTTCTAAGAAAATTGGTCTGTTATAACAAGAAAAAATCCCCACTCAACCTTTCAAAAACAAAAGAAAAATAAGCCATCTGATGAATATTAGCTGACACTGGATACTGATAAGCTTAAGAAAATTACTATTTGTGTCTCACAATTTAATAATATTTGGTTTGTTCATAATTTTGCTGTTCTTGAGAAAGATATAATGAAGTGTTTCTGAGTTCCTGTCCATCCACTCCAAGAAACAACCAAACTGGGCTGAAAGGACTCACAAGGGTGGTTTCATCATGAAAAGGTCACAAAGAAGTAGAAGGTACTGGCAACTGCAGCACCTTCCGGCTCAGACAGGGGAATTTCTTGCTTTCTTTACTACTCGATACAGACTGATTCTACTATTCTGATATCATTATTATTATTATCTGCATTTAACTACAGAAGACTACTTAATTAAAGATATATTAAGAAGCCAATATGATTAGATAGACCATGTCAGATACAGGTCTGTATTTGACTGCTATCTGCATGGCATATTACTTCTTGCCTGTACAGGTTTTCAAGGTGCAAAGTGCAGTAATTAGAAATGAATATGTATTGCATAAAACAAATTATTTGAATGTAACATCTGTGTAATGCTCGATCTCTGCATGAAATTCTGGTTGGTTTTGAAAAAATAGTTAATGACTGCACAAACGGCTGGCTACTAGTACCACCACTGACTAGTGGCAGTAGTAGCCAAACTGCTCTTACAGATTAACTCTCATTAGTATCACCTCAGAATATGTTTGCAATATTTTATACACATGGTGCTAAATTAAAAACCTATCATGTCTTCTGAAGTTGTTGTATGTTCCTGTGCTGTGTCTTGGAAAATGCTTGGCACTACTAAAAACCTTCTGATAATTGTGCCCTAATATGAACTCTTAATTGTCTAAATTCACGCTCTCATTATTTTAAAAGTTAAAATTCCACTGATGCTTAGTTCTGTTTTCTGTTAGCAGAAACGGAAATTAATTACTTTGACAAGAATATTAATGATTTTTGTTCTTGTTTTAAGGTAGTATGTACATCTGTATGGATATAACTTAGAGGCTTGTCGTGTTTTAATCAGATGATGTCCAGAAGTCCCTTCCAACCTAAACCACTGCATGTTCCTATGATAGCCAATGGTGATAGAAGAGGGGAAAACTTAATTAAATGTACTAGATTGTACAAGAACAAGAGTTGACTAGCTCTTCCAGTAGGGGGAGATGTTCTTTTAAAGTTTACCAGCAATTAGAAAGTGCTAACGAATTTACCCCTGTATCTTTATAACAAAATCAATCTTGTAAGAGAAATCGGTAAATGTGCCTTAGTAGTGATACTATCCAAAAGACAGTTGTATGAAAATCGGAAAAAAAAACCCAAACTCACAGCAAATGGCTGTAAAAGAGAAACATGCCACTGACAGCCATCAGAACCAAAAGGGCCCTACTCCTTTTCAAAAACAAAGTCTCTCCAACAGCTACGTTTTTTCACCCACATAACAAATCTAATTTTTAGATGCCAAAGATGCTATAAATATCATAGAGCAAGAAGGAAAAAGGATTAATTTTTTCAATTTAACAACACTAAATATTTAAAAATAAAAAATAAAAATTAACTATATTGCCTGAAATGCTCCCTATAACTCAGAACAAAATCTGAGCTGTGTTTTTTTCCTTATTTCGCAATTTCTTTTTAAACGTTTAATGTCAGAAGTAATACTGTCTCGTGTCACACTATAATTCTGTTCTCCTACTTAAGCAGTTTCCTTTCACAAACCTTCCTGAGAATCAGGGAGGCTCCTGAGTGATGCAGGTTACCACCTATTTTCTATGAATGCAGCTCACTGTCCATTATCTTGCAGTTCACAATTCTTCCAATTCTGCCACTGCAACTGTAGATGATGACATAAATCAGATCTCCGAAACTTTTACTATTTTTACTACTCTGATCTGAGTAAAAATAGAATACTCTCACTTTTACCTTCCTCCCAAAACAATTATCTTTTGACTCAGCTAATTTCTATGATCCCCTTGAATAAAACAGTGCTTGCATCAGTACAGCTGACAGTGCAGTCAATTGGGAACATGTCTAGAGGAACACCTTAATCTGGCTTAGAGAGACCAGAGAAACAGCTGTGAAACAACACCACAAGGCATTTTTAAAGCAATCATGGTAAGAGTAGAAATTCCATTTATTAAAAAAGGCTGGGATTTATGACTGGTATATTTAGATGTCTATATATCTCAGTCATTCCTGAAGACTCCGTTTACAGTCTGTCGCAAAATCAGAACCCAGATAGGCAGAATCTGGGACTTCGAATGCAAGTTTCCAAACCAACTGAGATGAATAGGATGGCAGGTGCCTATTTCAACTAGATGAACAATTCAGATACAGGTATGTACAGTAGAGGGATACAAATGTGATGAGCTGATTCTTCCCTGCTCTGTCCAAATGGAGGTGAGTTAAATGAAGTCTCTTTCTATCTCTTCTGCAACACTTTTGATTAGCACAGTCAGAACAACTTTGGAAAGAATAACATTATTTTCCCCACTTCAGGCACAGGAAAATGAGGTACTAGTAGGTTTGCCAAAGTCAGACGGCAGCGTTTGCCAGATTCAGGAAAAAAATGCAGAACAGTCTGGATTTCTAGCTGCTAGTCTTGCTAAGCGAACATCATCACTGCTGGTATGTCTCCAGCTCATTTCCCACCTCTGAAATTGCTATCAGTAAAACACCCCACTTCTTACCTGCCTTATCTTCAAATGCTTTGGATACTGCCACTCTGAAAATGGATGCTGCTTTTACTTTCACAGTGCTGAGAAAAGCCTCACCTGTAAATACAACTCCAAGCCTTGCCGTCGCTGCTCCAGAACCTTGGGGACCCAGTTTCTCACGTGCTTTGAAGGGATCTCTGGAGTTCTTATGAACTTCTTGAGCTGCAAATGAAAAGAATTGCAGACAGAAACAAAGTATAATAGCATCCCTTTGAAGTAAACAAGCTTATGTTAGAGATGAGGCAGTACAGGTAAAATAACCATGCATAAAGGACAACAGCGATGAAGTTACTCAGCATCAGCTCACTGAAGTAACAACAGACGTCATATCTACAGGTTGCAGTTAAAGATCTCCACATCTAGCTGCCCTGGACACTGAAGAGGAACCCTACTAACAATTTCTTGTGACCAACAGCCTTAAAACAAAACAGCAATAACTACATGAGCATACTGAAATGAGTTCCCCGTGGTGACAAAACACCGTGACAATTTCTAACCCTAGATTTAGGCAACTATGAACAAGTGGGACAAGTACAGGGAGGAGATCTAACCATTTCTCTGGAGAGCTGGCCATCAAGAGAGCAAAATATCTGTGCTCTCAAATTGCACCAACAGATTGACAGTTGTGTTTAATATCTTCTACAGAGAAACAGCAAGATTGCCACTGAATATATTTCCAAGAGAGCTCCATAACTATTCCTCTAAAGACTCCCACAGGAAAGCTTTTATAAATATATACGGAAAAGTGTATATGCATACATGGGTGTATATAGATAGACATAAACATACATTCTGACAACACTAAGAATCCTCTTGCTGAAGCAACGTATTTTTTCAAAACCAAAAAAATATTAACTTTTTCCTCAAAAATACAGAGCACAAATAACAACTGGAATAGACTCCATCGTATATTAATAGAAAATGACATTAGACATTCTTTCTGTTGGATATTGCCTCTGAGTAAATCTGAGACAAGGAATGCACAGAAAGAAACTCAAAATTGACTTTGACATGCATACCCGTGGGAGACTGAGAATTTACATTTCATCTTTGAGCTTGCTGAGATGTCACTATAGGAAAAAGCAGTGCCAACATATCAACGTCTCTACAATCACACGTAACAATGCTGCAGCAAGGAAACCTCAATTGCTCTGGAAACATTTTGCAACTTCCTTATTTCTTATCAGTGCTAAATTACAATTAAATGTGAAGTGAGGAAAACAACCCACCAAAACAAAACCCGAAACCAATGTACTTTTACTGACTGATATTAAAGTCAGAACACAAACCCCCATTTTTAGCTCTGAATTGGTTGAGAATGTTGAAGAAGCTATGGTCACAGCTGTTGTGAACTATGACAGCACCTGCAGATCAGTAACAAATGAGGAGAATGCTCCAGATGAGGGGAGACAAATCTGAAACAATACAAGCGTTCACCAAGGCCTAGCTGCTTACAAGATAAATACTCTGTGGCTGGTACCCCAGCTGATGATTAACAATCCTTCTGTGCTCTGTGTCCCTGTTATAGAAAGCATCCAACAAACAATTGCTTAAATGTGCAAGCAGAGGTACTGTGTGTAGGTATAAAGCACATGCTACACAGATGTACAAAGAATGAATTATAAACCCACTTTCTTATGCTTACAATAATCCAATAATATATTGCAACAAATAATTATTACTATGTCAAAGAATATTAAGGAAATCTACATATGTGTTAGCTATATTGCTTCAGACCTGGCCCTACATAAGAAATATTTATCTGAGGACAATTATTGTCTGTAATTCCTTCCTGTCCATAACACTAACCCAACACCTATTTGACATACTGTAGTCTCTATTGCCTGAAAGACTAAAAGATAGCTCAAATTATCAAGTGAAGAATTATTTGTCCAAGTGTGAAAATATTTGCAGTGTACACTGCTAATTCTAAAATTACAAACAATTTGCAAACCAAGATGCATAGAACTTAAGATTTTTGCAGATTTCACTGCAGTAGGTGTAACACTGTCACATTCCAGCACTCTGGTGCTTAAAAAGAACTACCAGTATTTAAAAATGTCAAGGAAAAAATGTATAAAAAGGAATTAGGGAACAAATGTGAATAAATGGTTGTATTTTTAACAATGTTATACACATAGAAAGAATTTAATTCTTTCTAAAAACCTCTCCATATGAAAATAACAAAACTTTTGTGTAGATTTGAATACAATACTGTAATGTGAATGGTGCATAGCCCGAACGGCCTGGTTTGTCGTTCATAACCAGGTCAAAGTATAATGGCCTATGCAAACTATTTCAAAAAACCCAACAGCAGTACATGTTTTCTGTCAAGGGAATAATTTGTACTCCTGGTGCGGCACTGCAGTCTTGAAAAGATTTTAAACCTTGTCCACTGCAGCCACATCGCACAAGAAGTGGGGCTTTACTTATTTACACAACTGGAATGTAATAAAGGTTGAACCCAGGAAAGAGACAAATCCAGCCATGTTTTTGGAAATGGCTTTGTTTAAAAAAAAAAACAAAACAAACCAAAATTAATCAAAACATTGATAGGCATCCTGATGAATGAATAATGTCCTATATGAGCAATGGAGTCCTCCTTCCTCCATACAATGCCAGTGGAGCACGTCCTCTGGCAAAAGACACAATCTCTCCTTCAGCCTCTATTCCCATTTTCTATCTTGGTTGTTCTCTACAGAAGCTTTGATTCTCCTACTCACTACAGACATCTCCAGCACTAAGGGCACCTTGAATATGCAGTAAGTCTAAAGATACCTTTTGAATTGCCATATTCTTGCAGCAATTTAGAGTGAAACTTATGTTTTAAATTAATGGGGAAGAGAGGAACAAAACATAAATAACCTACTGGCATGCCGAAAGCAAACTGGTACCTGGTCCTACGTATAAACAGCATTGTGGGAGGTGAACAAATTGTTCACAAAGAAAAATTGAAATACAAGTTCAAAATATTCTTCTCTTGTAGAAATTGTTCAAACACACACACTACTTTTTTAAGAGCATTGAGATTTTCTGTTCTGATGCAAAGCAGGGAGGAGAAAAAATGGTGAAACTGCATACTGTTATGACCAGAAAATGCGTTCTCCAGGATTTCTACAACACGGAAAGCACTAAGGAAGGTTCAGAGCATGAGCTGTTCAACCTTGTTTACTGAAATTTTACTACAATTTCAAAAAGTAAGACTTAAGAAAAGAGGTTGCCAAATTATGCTGGGTGCTTTATATCTGTACAGGGAAGAAATAAGAAAAAGTCACTACCAAGTTTGCAGAGTAACATAAACAGACAGCAAGCAGATGAGTAAGATGAGACAAATTGAAGACTGGTGCAAAGTGTCTTGTTAGAATACTTGTTTTTCAGGTTAGTTTATTTTGCTGCTATTTCTGGAGAGAAAGGAACTATAATTTATGGTTTTTTTCTGGTGTTCTAAGGAGAAATCTCTGCAAAGGGAGTTACTGCAGATGAAGCAGTGTACAAGGAGACTAATCTGAGAGTGAGACTGCAGTCGTTCATTACTTTTGTGCGGAGCAATTGTGCAACTCCACAAATTATAGTGAACTTAGACAACAACAAAGGGAAGAAGAAAAAGTGGAGGCATTCATTGCTTTTTTTGCCTCAGTCTTTAGTGATATTGATAGACCTTGGGCTGCCCAGTCCCTTGAGCTGGAGGACCATGAGTGTGAGAACAGTGACTTTCCATATGTGAACACTGAAATTGTAAGGGACCATCTGTAACAGTTGAATGTTCACGAGCCCATGGGGCCTGATGGGATTCACCGCAGAGTACTGGAGGAGCTGGCACATGTTATGGCAGGACTCCTGATCATCTATTGGAGGTCTTGGGAGTCTGTAGAGGTAGGTCCCTGCTGACTGGAAGCTAGCCAGTGTTACTCCAGTTTACAAGGGTGTGAGGGAAGACCTAAGGAACCCAGACATGTTAGTTCCTGGAAAAATTATGGAGAAGATTATGCTGGGTACTATTGAAAGGGATTTAAAGAACAATGCAATCATCAGGCAGAGTCAACATGGATTCACAAAGTGAAAGTCCTGTTTAACTAATTCAGTATCTTTCTATGATAAGGTCACCCGCCTAAGGGATGAAGGCAAGGCAGTGGATGTAGTCTTTCTGGATTTTGGCAAGGCTTCTAATACTGTCCCTCACAGCACCCTTCTGGGACTAGGTGTTCAACTGTGGGATGAGCAGGTCTACGGTCCAATGGGTGAAGAACTGGCTGAGCCCAAAGGGTTGTAGTGAATGGGGCTACATCTGTCTGGCCACTGGTCACCAGCAGCGTTCCTCAGGGTTCAGGACACGTGGGAATGGTTCAAAGGTGCGCCAGGGGATGTTTAGACTGGACGTTAGGAAGCATTTCTTTACCAAGAGGGTGGTCAAACACTGGAACAGGCTTCCTAGAGAGCTGGTCAATGCCCCAAGTCTGTCAGTGTTTAAAAGGCATTTGGACAATGCCCTTAGCAACATACATCAACTTTTGGTGAGCCCTAAAGAGGTCAGGCAGTTGGACTAGATGATCGTTGTAGGTCCCCTGCAACTGAAAATAGTCTATTCTATTCTATTCTAACTACAGAAGATGGTCTGTGTATAAATCCTGATCTTCCCTTCTTAATGTTTTCTAACTTAGTTGTATAATCTCTATTTGCCTGCTTTACTTTCAATTACAACATTACTTTCATATGTAAAATAAAGCACACAAGGCTTGGTGGTGGGAGAGTGAGTTATACCACTGACTCTTGACACTGTTGCTCATGTGGTATCATAGTAAATGTGAACACAAGGGGTAAAATATCTGAGACTTATCTGAATTAAAACAATAAACAAGGAAATTAATATTAAAAAGTGGCAGCTGATACCACAACTGGGCCAAGAAGCAAAAAGGCAAGAAATACTAGCACATTTTAATTACAGTGCAGTAAAGCAAAATATATTCTTGTTCTTTGGACTTTTGAGGTCCAACAACCAGATGGGTCAATAGTTGCTTTTCACTGATCAGTTTGCTTAAATGCATATGCCATAAGGCTGGCAAAACCCATCCTCTCTGCCACCAGGATAATGCTTCTTTCCCTGAATGAGATGATTCCTGAATTGATTCATGACCACCAGCAAACATGCTGGTGTGGGTAAGCTCCTCCATTACTGCAGTAGAAGAAGCTGCAAATTCCCATGCTCCTCTCTGCCACTTGTAGAGGAAACTTTTCCATGCTGAAGGCAAGTAGCACAAGTCAAAACAGTTGAGTGTGCACACACTCCACTGCCACTGAGAGCTACAAACCAACAAATGTTCAGTTGACCCAGCTCCTAGGAATGAAGGACTGAAGCTCTTCATTGCAGTCCCACCACTGGCAATGGGTTCCAATGCTTTTCCAGAATTCTCCTTCAAAATACTTGGCCTCCATAAGGCAGAAAAAATTTAAAACTTGCCTTTCAGCTGCACAACCGTACGGCAGCAGCAGCCAGTTGAGCCTGGAGAGGAGAACTCATACTTTTCCTTTAACAGTCACTAAAACAATTTAAAGAACAATTAGTGGATAACCAATCTTCAAAGTACTGAGTTCCCTTCTATATATCAGTAAGATGATTCAGTAGACAAGCTTAGCAGGTATTTTATATCACAATCATTGTATGAAGAGCAGCAGAGTGAGATGGTCTACTCAGGCTTTTTCACGTCTAGTTTGCTGGTGTGTACAAGTTGTTTCCTCAGCTTTACATATAGCAGGTTAGCAACACAATTTATAGAACTAACAAATTATTTGCCTAATTGGATAAAAACCAAAACCGTATTTATTTGTTATATGTTACAGACAGCATTTTAACAGTACAGCATGTAAATAATAATCAAAAAGAAAAGGAGAGTTAGTAACATCTGAGAAACTGAGTTAGTTGGGAACTCGTTTCTAGAGACATGAATTGCAAGATGTATTTAAGATAAACCATGTATAGTAACAATTTCAAGAGAGAGAAAAAGATCACAACTAAGGCAAAACAAAGTTACATCTTGTAAAGAAAGAGATCACTACCTTTTTATGAAGTGCATGGAATTCACTATACCTCTTCTCCACAAAATGTTTCCTTCCACTCATTAGCACCTCTATTTTAAAGACCTGAAAATTATAAATAATAAAAAGGAGATTAATGTACAGTTCTGTGACATGGCTGCAACTACACGTTTTACCACGGTCATTCCAGCAGGTCGTCCAAAAAAAGGCACAATGACTCACGAGGTGCAGAATTACAACAATGATTAATGGGAAGTATGGCTGAATCTTCTGTTTACAAGTTTGTTCAACAAACATATAAAAAGACAAGTTAAGCTTTGACTGTATACTCTACATTAAAAACTAAGCATTAAAATATTCCCTTTCAGAAATATTTAATAAATTTTCAAGTAGTTAAAAAATAAAATTAAAACAAAGGATGGTAAGAACAGAAAAAAAAAAAAGAGAAAAAAGACATAAAGTTTCATTCTTTTTTCCTCTTACAATACTGCATAGTAACACACTCACACATGTTCAGTAAGAACTGGGTAACACATGCAGTATGTTATGCACGGGAAAAGAGAAATAAATGCAAACACTACATCGTAGGTTAATTTCCTCCTAACCTACAAATTCATCTGTAGCCTCAACTGAGCTTGTGCTACTATCTACACCCTAGGAAAAAAAAAACCCAAACATGGTAAATGCTTGTTTTCTTTGTATGATACATGTGACAGCTTTTGTTGCTGCCACTGGAAGGTTGAAAGGCCAGGAGAAGAAGCGCTCTGGATCCACTAATTAGTAGTCACTAACATGACGTTTTCTTGATTCTGAGGTCAATGGGTCAGTTCTGAGGGCAAGCGATGAGAAATATTTTGAAGTACTCAAGAAAACACGGTCTATTAAAAAAAGACAAGATCAGCAGAAAAGCAATATAAAAAAGGTGCCTGGTCTATCTAGGAGTTCTTTGTTTTCTGTTTGGCTCAGAAAATACTGGAAATAATTCTTTCCAGGACAATGAGAGAATATCAATCAGAATATGCTGTATATCAATTCAGGACAGATTACATCGAGACCCAAGACTTAGGTGAAATAAAAAGTTCTTTGAAATAAATTTGCAGACAATGTTTATGCCTGAATGCAGAAAAAAAGGGGTTTCTGTCACATGCCCAGCTAGCGTTGATCAGAGCAAACAAACAGAAACATGCTGGATAAACATTTCCTATTGTCCACTAGAACCTGCCTTTCAAACAGGTCAAAATGCTATGGTTTTCACTGGCTAGCCAAACCACATTAGAAACAAATAGCATTTTATTTAATCCAGACTGAAACGCGTCTCCCTTTGTTTGAAGGCAGTATGGATGGGACTGCAGTCATTTCACACCAATGTTTACATTACCAAAATTAGTTCAGATCATTGTAATCCATCAAAATAACTTGTGCTACATTCTACCTCTTTGAAAAGGACTATTTCTGTGTCCTAATCACTGCAAGCAGATGACCTTATTTGGGTGCATTGATTTTTCCCTTTTCCCCCTATCTATTTAGACTATTTTGGGAGAACAGCTATTGGCTATGAAACAATTTTCCTCTACATGTGAAAAAACTCCAAGGCACCCTTAGGAATATGTTGTAAGTTCAGAGTTGTAAAGAGAATCACATGCAAAGAAAAATCAATGTAGGCTTTTTTCCTTTAGTTGAGACTTAACATCCTAATTATATGTGAGGAAAGCATTATTTACATCTTATATTCTACACACTGTATGAAAGAAATAGTTCTGCAAGGAACAAAATGCTTTGGATTGTACAGGAAAGCCACTGCGCTGAGAGAGTTTCAAAGATGCCTTGGTGGGAAGAAGGGAAAACAGAATATGAAATCAGTTAAGTTAAAAGTAACCATGAGTCACTTGTTAAGGTGTTGCAACAGTTTTGAATTAACTTTATCGTAAATCTCCAGCAATTACAAGCAACTTGTAACACCCACTTACACCTCAGTCAGCTAAGAGCCTCTGCACCACTGCTAGTTTAGCACTCTTGTTAGCTACAGGGTTTGCCAAGCAATTTGGAGAAGTCTAAGGGGCTCCTGCCTCAGCTGTAAGCACTCCCTTGACAGGTAACTTTCTTGTGAATCACAGCTTGGCTTGTGCAGTCCCATCTCGGTTTTAGTCATGTATGTGCAGCTTCAGAGAAATGTCTTTCCCTCTGAAATCCATAAACCTGTCATTTTCTATAGGTGAATAGTTGGAATATGGAGAAGAAGAGAAATATAAATCCCTCTGTGGACCTTCTTTACTAAGCATGTATCTATTTTTTTCTGTGATTCATGACTGGTTAAGGAATTACAAAATGGCTTCAGATCACCAAAAAGTATGCAGCATTTATTCAGCCTCTTTTTCAATCTTTTTAATCTTAGCCAAGTTTTAATTACTGTTTCCATAATTTTTTGCCAACAAGATGACACTGAAGAATATACTTGCTTTCACAGGAGACGTCAGAAGAGAGAACAACAGCTTCCCATGCACAGTGATGTAATTTCCAAACCCACAAATCTGCTACCTTTACACCCTTAACTGTTTGTATCAGTATAGAAGCTTTCACTTTGCCTCCTACTGTCCAGAGCCCTTGGATCCATCTAAAATTTACAGAGCTGGACAACAGAAGCATGAAGTTGAAAATTACTGTTTGAAAAAAACCCCTGCAAAAGGCGTTTCTAATCCTCTCACTATGGCACCTATATTTCAGAATGTAAAGCAATTTGTGGTAAGTAAGTGTAAAATCTGTTAATATTTTCATTTAATGCAAATTAAATATTAAATTTATTTACAAAGTAACTTACAAAGCAGAAATGCAAGTAAGTGAAATAACATGTATCATGCTTATGAACTTCATATTATTAAATCTCTTTATTTAGACAGCATAAATTCCAGGTTTGTCTCCTCACTGTTCATCAGATCACAATTCACAAGAGCAAACAAAAAGCACAGAAGTGAGTTTCTGTGCCACTATTTCACATAATGATGTGGCTTTGTGTGAAAGACAGAAAGATACATTAGCTTAAGAGAGATAGAATCTCTTCACGGATTCAAAATAGCTATAGACAAATCTCACACAAATTTAACTGAGCAATTGCAGGCCCTGACAGAAGAACAATGTAAGGAAACTGGTGAACATAGATGGAAGTGCCAAAACAAAGACGGAAGAAGCATAGGGGAAAAAATGCAACACTGCAAGGAAATTACTTTTCTTGTAAAAATGTTCATGTTCTACGAACAGATAACTCTGAAAAGACGTATGACTTTTTATAAGTGACATGAAAAATGCAACAATTAATCACTGGGTAAGACAAGTAAAATGCTTTTCCCATAGTCATTGAAATACCAGAAATAACACTGCACTGGAAGATTTGCTGTTCATCCTGACTAGGACACAAGGGACCACAGATATGAAGACACTAATTAGAAAACTCTTTATGAGTACTCTGAAACTAGAATTGACTCACCTTTCTTGGTTACTACCACAACAGTTATTGATGATGTTTGCACAAAGCCAGAAGATGATTATCCACCAAAAGCATTTTTCCAACAGAATTTAACTCTCATGAATGACGTGTGGGACAAACACCTTTGGATTGGATACCAGTATGAATAATGTTGATCTTTTGCCTAACAGAATTGCAGATCTGCCACTGCAATTTGTAACCATCAAGCCTGTGAAGGAAACTCTTCAAGAAGAATTCCTAGGGTTTTTGTTAATAAGATAGCAAAAAATTTCAGGTCTGATTACAAAACAGGCTTACATATGATTTAAAAAAACCCCCAAACACCACAACTTTTTTCCCCTTTCTTATTTGCTTCCACTTTGTTCCAATGATATGGGTTATATTCAGATCCTGGAAAGCATTTTCTTCATTTCTTATTGTTAGCAAGTATGCCTAATTTTGCCATTTTCCTGAATTTATCGATTTCTGATTGTTAGCAAACCTCTAACTGAATGATTCTTTTTCACTGTTTTGAAGAATACTACTTACATTTCTTGCTGCAGAAACTGGACAGTACTACATAATAACTAAATTGGATTATATACAGGCAAAACAATTGATACTCTATCACTGTGAATTTCCAAGACAGAAAGCACAAATGGAAGAAAATAGGAATGAAGAAGACATAAAAGAACCAACCATGCCTTCCTGTAAGTGCACCAGTGTTGTAATTGCACATCAAGAACTGTGTGGTAAATAACACTGATCCTGCCCTCCTTCAGTCCTTACCTATGTCCAATGCTTACACTGGATACAAAAGGACTTTTATCTGATAATTCGATGTGAAAATATGCAGCTCCCGTAACTTTGTCTCAAAACCCCCAGAATGATCAGTTTAATGAAAAACATGGACAAGAATGAGAAATACGACCAGGAGTAGGGAGGAAAACTAACGAGAATAGTAACTTCTCGGCTTGGTTTTCTATTACATGAGAAATACACAGATGGCACTTTTATATCTCCTCATGGAAATCACATTAACTACAGAGTTTATAATGATGGTAAATGAATACTATCCTATTGTGTATCTTATACATGGAAAAATTAATTGCAAAGTATATAAACTTCTGAAAAGTTACAGTTCAGAAAGAGATTTGGGGCAGCCTTGTTTAGAATGAGGAGATACAAAAACCAGAAACAGAAAAAGAGAAGTTTACAAAAACCAGATACATTTGTCTAACATTCACCAGGAAAGAAAATCCCACAAAATTCTTGTACTGTGCTTTTCTCTCTCAAGACCAAGCTTACCAACACAAATTCAATTTATTATATTACTTACAGAAATAAATACATCCCTTCAGATGCTTCAGTATGCTTGACAGACTTTTGTCTGAAGAACAGCTAATGCATTCAAAGTGTCAAGTAACTTAACCTTAAACCTTTGTTATGGCTGTATGGAAGGAATTCCAGAGCAAATGAAATGACAGCTACGGTCCATGAAACACTAATAGGATTTCCATGTGTTTAGTGTTTCATTATTGTTCAGGCAATGGCATATCTTCTGTCTCAGTTGTGCTATGACTAGAACAAGACCATGACATATAGTAGAGATCAAAAGATGACTTTAAACCTATTCCCATCC